ATGTCTTACAGAACATGTGAACAAATATATTTGTACAATTTTTCTGTGGGATGTTGTTGACAAAATGTAGTAGTTATATTTGAGACAGATTCTATGCAGGACACACAATCTGTCTTTTTGTTATACAAGATATAAATGCTTTTATTTTATTTTGTGAACTGTTAAAGGTCTCTTGGATGGTTAGAATAAAGAAATCAACACATTCAGTACAGAAATGATACTGATATAGTAAATATCTACCTACAACTGCATATTCCTGCTGTCCGGAAGTGTATCATATTCATTGACCCCCTCATGCATATTACAGTAACTGTGCAATCAAAGAACCCCCATACTCCACTACTGGGTTTCATTTCTAGAGTAGCCATGGAAACAAGAACTTTAGTTTCTCCTCCATAGCAAAATACTACAAAACAGTGAAAAACAGTATCTAGCTTGGATGTATTTACCGGTAATATTTTTTGAAGATATTGTTGCAAAAAGAATTTCAGAAATTCTACAATTACCATTCATGGTTTAATTGTTTGCATGCCACCTTGTCTGTGCCGCCATGCATGTATTTAAATATACTAGTCATTCAGACTTGTCTAGACTTTTAGTAATATTACCCCCTACCTAAGACTAATTTGTTAAAAGGTGGAAATCAACACTAAAATGGTTTTCATTTATAAAGGTTATTGCACTCTGCAAGTGTAATCTGTGGGAAAAAAAACCCTAAAAATTGTAGTGAGAACATTTTTTCTAGCTATATGCTACTCTCGCAATCCATCTTAGCTGCCTGCAGTGAATGTCATAACTCCCTTGTCTTTCACAACAGGACACTGTGTAGTTAAAACGTGAGATGTTTTACCATACGTGCACATCTATTGCTTCATTCCCATGCCATGAAGTTAGTCTTCATTGGTTATAGTCATATTAACTAAAAGAATTGCAAGGTTAAATTCAAAGTCTGCATTCATGTACATGCAGGAGAGTTGGCCACATACCTTGTCACATGTAACTGTTTATTATCATGTGCATTATATAAACATGGTACAGTTTTTGTGTTAAAATGTGTCTTGAGGATGTGCTCTACACTTCTAACAACAACAGCAGCTGCTGTAATATGGTTCGTGTATCTTAGCTATAAAGTAAGGAGAGGTTTGGTCCCCAAGGTTGGTACTCAATCAGCACTGTAATTGAAGAGGACTTTTTACTCTCTTGCTTAAGGCTTGGCAAGTTGGCGAGAGGGAGGTATGGAAGCCAGTCTTCTATAATCTGCACAATAAATTAGCAGTTACATTGTACTTAATGGAGCATAAAGATTAAACTTTTTTTTTGCTTCAACAAAATAAATTAATGAATCTGATGATTTCCTAAAACAGTCATTTTCGTACTAAAAATCCATTATTTCTGCTATTATGGATCTAGGTCTGTCATGTATGGATTGATTTCATTCAAAATTCTGTTTTTTGTTGGATTCATAATGGCCGACTGGTGGCCATTTTGTTTTAATGTAGGCTGTTTGAAAGCCTCTACTCTGACATGTCTTGACCAATCATGGTCAAACCTTATATATGCATCATGTCACACATATGCACATATATTCATTAGTTTCTCCAATTTAAGATGGCTGAGTGATGACCATTTTAATGACAATGCATTAAAATCAAGTATTTCTAAAATTCCTAAAAAGGGATCCCAGTCATACATGGACATATATTTTCTAACTATAAAATGTATTATTTTGTTTTTTCAGATCAATGTATGTACATGTAAAATATTTTAAGTTTCAGTTGGATTAGCCATTGAATATTTTATAACATAGCTAGTACATGTGTAGTACATGTATACCATGCTTTGTGGAGAATTTATTTTGATTATAATTGTTGACATTACTAGAATTATTTGAATTATTAGGTAATTTTTGTGTTGAATAACTTACTTATTGAGCAATGACCTGTTGAACTACTGAATAATTGAACACACACCATGTGATATACTACATAACAGTGTAACAACACTATTTGGCTGTGGTATTTAGATTGGTAATTAACAATTCCAATACTGCAGTGTGTAGTGATACTGTGGTTTGATATGTCTTCAACCCATGTGTGGTGTAATAAATGAACACCTGAATAAGTTTATTCAAGATTTAGGCTAAAACTAAACTTTTTAACTGTGTGTAATGCATCTCAGACTTGCTGATATCAATCGTATGTGCTGTTTAACTATTCAACAATTAGCTCTTGTTTCCTACCCCTGCATTACAGACTTTTCAAAATGTAACTACGTTGTGTTTGAGCAGTCATCCCATGACAAGTACTCTTTGCTATATGTAAAGGGGTCAGGGTACCCATGCATTTCACATTTTTTGCAATTTGACCATGAAATTCCACATGTACATTACCACCTTTAAAGGTGAACCAGACAAACAACATAATGCTCTCAGATATGAATGACCTTCACAAATATAGGAGAATACAATTTATAGTTTTTTTGTGGTTGAAATCATTTTAAAATATTTTCACAAAAGTAGCTATGTTGGCATACTTTATCCATAATCCTTTGCTGGGAATCAAAGTTAAATATCTAGAGAATGAAAAGTGATATTTAAAAAACTGTAAATAGCATTCTTCTACATTTTGAAAACTGTTTCATCTAGGAGCATTACGTTGTTTACCTGGTCTTCTCCTTTTAATCAAAACAGATTTAGGCCTCCAGATTGTGAGCATTTTGGTTGCTATGGCTATTAAATTTAATAAATGACTATTCAAAAATACCAATTGGCAATCTATACAAGGTCTAACCAATTCTCTGTAACATAAAACAGATAATATATCTTGTACATTTTTGGTGGCACACTTCTATGCATTTCATTATTCACTGTACTTAATTATTGTAACATTTTTGTATGAAAATACATACAAGAATTGCTGCATATTTTGCTTGTCTGAATGATCAACTACATAGTTTGCAACAGAATAATGCAATTGAAAGTGGATCTCATCCTGTCAGTGAATCAGTGTCAGCCAATAATAACCGCATATGAAATATCTAAGTTTTAAATATAAATATGTTTCTTAATATAATTGTAAAACAATCAATTCTGGTGACTAGTAATTTTGTACTTGACTACAAATTATTCCAGTTGGCCACAAACAATTTCAAATTTGTTGTCAATGACGACAAGGGAAAATTAAACTTTGAGAGCTGAAATTTCCATCTACAGTAACAATTTACTTGCTATACTGGACCCTATGCAAGTGTAATTTAAAATCCTGATTACAATTTTGGTTGTTTTGTCATATATATACCTTACTGTTAATTCAACAAATTAATTATTTTTTTCCTTGCCTGTATTGAAACATGATGGTAAGTGATCAAATTCTGTTCTTTATGTTGACACGATAAATCAACTTGATATCCAATCATTTTCAAACATATTTTATTAATCAGAATAATAATATGCAGACTAAGCTTTATGTATTTTCAAGAAACAGGTGAAAATGTGGCTTGAAAATCTTGAGTGATTCAATATAGGCATAAGTAAATATCACAAATGTTTAATGTTTACATTTTCTTTTCTTTATTTGTATCATGGTGTGAAACTGTATTCAATATAGTTTTAAATTCATCACTGTTGCCAGCTCTAATTGACATTCTACTGTCTCTGTTTTATTTTTGAGTCAAAACTGCTATTTGTATTTTTGTAATGTGTTATTCAAACCACAATGCGGCTATTAGAATTGTCTTCCAGATTTATACATGTTATATTGGTTGTATATTTTGAATGAATATTTATGGTTAAAAATAGTTTAAGTTCACAACCTATAATTCAAATTTGTATTATATGTGCTTTGGAATGATAAAATGACGAGATGATATTTTAATATCACACTATATTTTCAATGAAACTATCTCTAGAGGGCGCTGTTCAGTATAAGGCTGTGTTGGTACAAAGCAGTTTGACTTTAATATGAACCAGTTGTAGTTTGAGTGATTACAATGGTTGTCACTAAAAGGGAAAAGTTATCATGTAGTGTACTTTGCATTCAAATAAATTGTTTGCATGTTGTTCTCACATCTGTTACATATACATGTAGTACCATATATCTGTTACATATACATGTAGTACCATATATCTGTTACATATACATGTAGTACCATATATCTGTTACATATACATGTAGTACCATATATCTGTTACATATACATGTAGTACCATATATGTTACATATGCATGTAGTACCATATATTTGTTACATATACATGTAGTACCATATATCTGTTACATATGCATGTAGTACCATATATCTGTTACATATGCACGTAGTACCATACATCTGTTACATATGCACGTAGTACCATATATCTGTTACATATACACGTAGTACCATATATCTGTTACATATGCATGTAGTACCATATATCTGTTACATATGCATGTAGTACCATATATCTGTTACATATGCATGTAGTACCATATATCTGTTACATATGCATGTAGTACCATATATGTTACATATGCATGTAGTACCATATATCTGTTACATATGCATGTAGTACCATATATCTGTTACATATGCATGTAGTACCATATATCTGTTACATATGCATGTAGTACCATATATCTGTTACATATGCATGTAGTACCATATATCTGTTACATATGTATAATATAGTGGGACATATTCACTGGGTTATAGCAGATTTAAAGTTGCAGGGATATTCACTAGGTTTTAAATCACTTGTTCAGGAAGGAAACAATATATTTTATGTTGGCTTTGCATACTAACAGAGTTTTCTCTGTGAATGAATTAAGTGAAAATGAAATCTAGCAAATAATTAAACCCTATATAGTACACATATTTAGCTGCAATTGAAACAGACTATAGATTTTTAAACAACAATCAAAATTCATTTCATTACATGTATTTATATTACTACTGTTAACCTATATTTATGATAACTCTGATGTTTAGTGAATTAATATATAGTATTTTTATTGTCTTTTTCAGATGCAGCAGTTGTTTTATCATAAATATTTTGCCAAAGATGCTTTTACTGGTAACCTGCATACTTCTGAAGTTCACAAAGCTATTACTCTACACCCTATCAAAAGTATACCCCATTTTCACCGTCTACACTCATATCTAGAAAGTCAAAGAATTGCTTATTTACAACTAAAAACACTCAGGACATTACGGGAGATAAATGAAATGAATCGTTTACTGAAGATACCACTTATAGACGACAGGACAGAAAATACAAAACTGGGCTCAACCCCCGATCTTGTGCGATACATGCCAAATATTTACGATGAGACGATCGCATGGGATTTCTTTACTAAGTCCTTGTACTCATTAAAATACGATACTCCCAAACGAGGATTGGATAAAACGTTACAAGTTGCTTTAGAAGATATAGTACTGCAGGTGATGGAAATGATAAATAGAAACTCTCTTGCTAGAGGCAGAACTATAGATTACCAGGAAATATTATATGGATACAGGCGTATAATTCCAACACACGGTGTAGACTATATATTGGATCTTTTACTTATGTATCGACGTCACAAAGGTAAAAAACGTAATGTTCCAGTCAGAAGACATGCGTACTTACAACAATCGTTTGGTAAAATACAGTTTATTGAAGAATTAACGAATGATGTAATCACAAAACCAGCATCAGATGTACGAAGTGCAAACTCACTAACAAACTTTGCAAATGGTGTATCTAGTGGAGCGTTTGGAAATGTAGCGAGTGTCATGTACAGTAAGCAAACAATACACTTCGTCTTGCCACTGGCAGGAAGATTTGAAACATTGAAGCGATTTATGCAAAACTTTGAAAGAACATGTCTTGTTACAAAAGAAGATGTTAAACTTGTTGTAGTTCTTTTTAAGACTGCTCAAAACGACCAGTCATTGGAGATTATCAAGCTAATATCCCACTACCAAGAGCTGTATCCGAACTCAGAGCTTCGTATTCTTAGCGCTATGGGTGAGTTTGCACGAGGCTTGGCCTTGGAACTTGGAGCCTCTCAATACCCTTCAGATGCATTATTGTTTTTTGTAGATGTTGATATTCACTTCTCATCCGGATTTCTGTATCGATGCCGAAAAAACACAAAGCAGGGAAAACTGATTTACTATCCAGAAGTTTTCAGTCAGTATGAACCACGAGTTGTATACCCACACAAACAGACTCCAGTCACCAATATTCTCATCAATAAACAGACTGGATTTTTCCGTCATTACGGCTTTGGCATAGTGTGTGTGTACAATAGTGATGTAAGTTCTGTGGGAGGAATGGATGCATCCATCGTTGGCTGGGGATTGGAAGATGTAGACCTGTATAATAAATTTGTAATTAGTAATATGACAGTATTCCGTTCCCCTGATGTGGGACTTGTACACATCTATCATCCTGTGATATGTGATGAAGCACTAGAACCAAAGCAATATCAGATGTGTTTAGGATCACGTACATCAACTTATGGTAGTCCAAGTCAGTTATCAAATATCATTCAAAACAGTAAACATAAACACAAGGAAACCAGTAAAACGTGACCGGACTAAAGATGCAGTGTCTCCTATGGTGCTTTTATCATTACCTGCCCTTCATTTCATTGTAAATACAGTATATACATTTTCAATTAATATCAAAATAGCAATATATCCTGTGACTATTTTCATCCATACCAGCTTCAACTTATTAAGTGTATGATAATCATTCCGTTCAATATATTGACATATGTGACATTTCTGTTACACTGTCTGCATTTTTTCTAAAACACTACCAAAGTATAATTCATAATACTCTTTATTTCATGAGTTTCATTTTTAAAGTGTCCTACTTTTATTCAAATTTATTATTTATTTGAAATTGTACATCAGTTACAGCCATACAAGGCTACTACTTTTGGTGAACATTACAACATCTCTTGGCCTTAACAGTGATTTCATATATGCTGAGGCCATTCATTGCTTTTGTTTGAAACTTGCATCAACATTATTACAGTTTTTATTTGTTTATTTTCTAGATGTGTAATGTGACTACATTGGGCTGAATAATTGTTTATACATCAGAACTCTTAACTAAGCCTTGTGCTGCCACCAATGTTTGCTTTATTTTGAGTGTAGCATATTTTACTGTAGTGGTACAGCATAATTTGACAGGCCTTAATAGTAGAAATTGAAATATTTTTTGACAACCGGGAAGTAACACAAAAACTCATTTGTCAAATTATACAAAGCTGTTTTATTTTTTTTGTGCTGAGCTTTATGAGTTTTGATGGCCTTATTTCATATCGCATGATACAAGTTAGATATATCACTGTAAAATACTTTTATTGTCGCTTGCAATTTATTTTCACACTCTATACTGAAAGGGGTATATTCAGTGAAAAATAAATCCAGCGAATATACCGTTTTTCCCCCAATTTTACATTTAAAGTTTTTGACGAGTTGAATGTAAATATAGGAAAAAAGGTATATTTGCTGAATTTTATTTTCACTGAATCATTCCTTCATTGAAAATAGCGAAAATTAATTCCTAGTGAAAGTAAAGTAATTTACCAGCTAGAAGTCTAATAACATACTATACACACATATCGTAACAGCCTGTTGTGGTAACTATACATGTGCTACATATGAGTTGGTTTCCCAAATCTATTTGATATAACATTTCTACCTCCATTCCATGTTTAACCTGAGACTGACATTCAATGTATTCAGCAATATTTTAGGAATACAGATAAGATTTGATTCACTGCCAACTCGTCCCTATATCTAGTATTTCCTTTATTACATTCCATTAGGCAGCAGCTTTATGATGGCATTTTATTATCCCGTTCTGAGGTCAGTGCAGTAACCTGCCACTATGAAATAAAACCAATAATAAATTTGTTACAACATACCGTATTGGCAGTGCATATAAAGTAAAAATTGCATTTATTGTTTATTAAGTCATTAAAATGTTGCTTATTTTGACCATAGCAATACCTCTAGTTTACTTAAGTGCATGCACCACTATGAGAAAATAGGGTAAGCTGTTTGCATTTGATTCAGTGCTGTGACATTGATAATATAGAAACAAATTAAATTGCCCACAGTGTACTTAAATGAATTTAATTAAACTGTTGCTCTAGCTATTCAAAGTAAGGTAACATACAACTTGTATGTAGTTTTCTCGCATATTGGTTAATCTAAGTAGGCATGGTACTGTAATTAATAATAATACATTTCAATGAATGATAGAATTAAATTTCTCCCATTTATTGTTTTTCAGTTTGATAATTATGATTTTAAATATCTAATTCTTATATATTATATATTGTTTTTCAGTTTGATAATTATGATTTTAAATATCTAATTCTTATATATTATATATTGTTTTTCAGTTTGATAATTATGATTTTAAATATCTAATTCTTATATATTATATATTGTTTTTTTGTTACATGAAACCATATAATTGTGAGACAAGATCCAATGCCACACATTTTGTGGAGTATGCTACTTATATGATTACTACTTAATGTCACATTATTACAGAATTATCTCAGTTGTTTCTCAAATAATGATCAGACTCTATAGTGTTTTGTCCTTTAGATTTTATAAATTACATTAACTCTTTAATAACTTTTGACTGTATCCATCAGAAATATATGAAATAAAACAACACACTGCCATTTTTGTTATGTATACATTTTACATAACCTTTTCTTCCATTCCATATCATAATTGTTTTTATGTATTTGCCAGTATTGTGTTTTGGCTAAAATCCTCTTTCCATATTAGGATCCTAAATGTTTGCTGTCTACAGTTTTCTGTTCATTTGTTTTGTTGAATTTTGATGAATTTTGATGAATTTTTAACTGTCCAGTTGTTTCAATCTCCCTTAACTTTGTTTGTTTGCAATGATGTAAATATATATTATGAATAATAAACATTTATGGACTTTATATCAATGAGTTGTTTAATTATCATAGATCAACTTCTCGCTAACGAGAGATTATATAACACGGTTCTTGTACAGATTAGTCATGCTGAGGCTACAGTCTAGTACCTGCTATTCATATATGTTTACATAGCAACTAGACCCATAATGCATTGGAGGCAATAACACTTAGTGAGACAACAAAAATATCCACATGTTAACAGAGAAATTATCTGTTCCAAGGGCTTTGCATTTTTTTTTTCAAATCTGAATACTCTTACTCTTTTAAATCACCTTTTTGGCGAATATTTTTGTCATTTTTCGCAAACAATTATATTTTCCATGACTTGGTGTTAATTTCCAGAAAATTTGAAGAAAGTCTGGTGGTGAAAAGTTGCACCACATTTTGTTTTGTGGGTGTTCATTGCTTAACTTTATCACCGTAAAGTTCTTGTAGGACAGGTGCCTTGTTTGTTTTTTTTGAAGCACTCTCTTTGCAATTTTTTTTCCTAGCCTGACAAACATGTTAGCTATTTGTGTTGACACGATTTTAGTACGTACCGGTAGTCCTAAATGACACTATTGCAAACATTTTGACAAACTGTTCAAAATGCATTTGATCACTCTTACTAGTTCAAAACGTAGTATGCTTTTGAAATGTCCCTGTTCAGATGCTGTCACAAAACGGGGATTTATCAAAAGGCATGTGAAGAAAGTTACATGCATGTTCCTTAAAGTTGCATGGAAAGTTGAAATTGAAAATAAACTGGTATGGAATATTGATCAAAGTTGAATGGAATGTTGGAAAAGTTGCATGAAAGCATAGTTTGGGAGGCTGGTAATTCACAAAGACAGGAATGTTGCATAAAAGTTTGGTAAATTTGCTTTAAAATTTGATAAAATTCCATGGAAAATAGTAATATTCATGGAATGCAAGAAAATGGAATGGAAAGGATCTATTGAAACCCAGGAAAGTCTGTTTAGTTATACATGTACGAGAAGCTGGTAAATGTTACATAAAAAGTGGGAAAAGTTGTATGGAAAGACACTATATCATCAAAATTTGTAATTTGCACCAAAACTCCAAGACTTTCCACTCATTCTCACTTTGCGCTGCTGTTCCACTACTTACTGTAGTTTCACACTTTGCAGCACTACTTTACCCTTTGCTCTCTAGTTTTTCATTTTACACCACTATTCCACTACTTTGTGCTACACTACTCCATTTTGCTCACTAATTCTTCACTTTGAACTAATATTCCACGACTTTGCACTCCAGTTTTACACTTTTCACCACTATTCGGTACTTTGCAATCTAATTCTTCACTTTGCACCACTATTCCACTACTTTGCACTCTAGCTTCACTCTTTGCACCACCACTCCACAACTTTGCACCTATGCTTTGCACTCTAGTTTCCGAATATGCTCCCCTACTCCACCACACTGCAATCTGGTTTCACACTTTGCACCACCAATATACCAATTTGCACTCTAATTCTTCAATTTACAATGCTATTCTGCCATTTTGCATTCTAGTTTCATACTTTGCACCACTAATCCAGCACTTTGCAATCTATACTAAACTGAAATTATTCGTACAAATTAAACAAGCATGAAATGCGGTATGCGGTGGTTGCAGTACCCAGGAGCCACACACGTTTATTACAAGTATCCCCCCTTACATATATAAATATTTATGGAATAATTGATAAATTCCCATCACGAATACATTGACCGCCCAGGTCAGGCGTCATCCATATTAAAAAGAAATAAGAAAAAATACATCGTGAGTTGTTTGCAACCGAGACTGAATACAATAGAACACTCTTCTTACTATATACCCATGAGTACCTGGTTATTTGGCCAATAACCAGTCAGAACAGGTGCAATGGCACCTGAATAATTTACATACGGATAGATAGCAATTGTCTGCTAATCTGCGAAACAATCTATCAATCTATACTTAACTCCAATTATTCGTACAAACTAAACAACAAGCATGAAATGCGGTATGCGGTGGTTGCAGTACCCAGGAGAGCAAAAAATTAGTTATGGTTTTACAAACGTGTATGTTAGACCCCAAGGGACTTTGATACTTCTAGTTTGCTTTGAAGCGAATCACAAATATATCTGTCTTTTGAACTCGTGCTCTTCCACTCTCTGTGTCTGGCAATGCACTTTTCATTAACGTTACTCTTAGCTGCCGCCGTTGCGCCACCAGCACGAAAACTTTGAGTACCGAATTGGGAAATATCGTTAACTAGTGGTTTAATACCTTTCATCATCATGGCAAAGTAGAGGCAAAGTGCGGCAAAGTAGTGACAAAGCCCGGCAAAGTAGTGGCAAAGTACGGCAAAGTACGGCAAAGTAGTGCAAAATATGACAAAGTAGTGGCAAAGTACTGCAAAGTAGTGGCAAAGTACTGCAAAGTAGTGGCAAAGTACTGCAAAGTCGTGGCAAAGTATGGAAAATTGGTGGCACAGTACGGCAAAGTACAGCAAAGTAGTGGCACAGTACGGCAAAGTAGTGGCAAAGTAGTGGCAAAGTACGGCAATGTCGTGGCAATGTAGTGGCAAGTTACAGCAAAGTAGTGACAAATCACGGCAAAGTAGTGTCAAAGTACGGCAAAGTAGTGGCAAAGTACGGCAAAGTAGTGGCAATGTACGACAAAGTAGTGACAAAGTATGACAAAGTAGTGGCAAAGTACTGCAAAATAGTGGCAAAGTACGCCAAAGTAGTGGCAAAGTATGGCAAAGTAGTGGAAAATACAGCAAAGTAGTGGCAAAGTACGTCAAAGTAGTGGCAAAGTGCGGCAAAGAACGGCAAAGTAGTGGCAAAGTACTGCAAAGTAGTGGCAAAGTACGGCGAAGTACGGCAAAGTAGTGGCAAAGTAGAGGCAAAGTACGGCAATGTACGGCAAAGTAGTGGCAAAGAGTGGAAAAGTACGGCAAAGTAGTGGCAAAGTACAGCAACGTAGTGGCAAAGTACGGCAAAGTAGTGCAAAGTATGACAAAGTAGTGGCAAAGTAGTGCAAAGTAGTGACAAAGTATGGCAAAGTATGGCAAAGTAGTGGCAGAATACAGCAAAATACGTCAAAGTAGTGGCAAAGTACGGCAAAATAGTGGCAAAGTACGGCAAAGTAGAGGCAAAGTGCGGCAAAGTAGTGACAAATCAAGGCAAAGGAGTGGCAAAGTAGTGGCAGAGTACGGCAAAGTAGTGCAAAATATGACAAAGTAGTGGCAAAGTACTGCAAAGTAGTGGCAAAGTACGGCAAAATAGAGGCAGAGTAGTGGCAAAGTACGGCAAAGTAGTGGAAAAGTACTGCAAAGTCGTGGCAAAGTATGGCA